CCTTTCTCCTCGTCGCCGTTTTCCTTCTTAATTTCTTCATAAAGGGCTTCGCCGCCTCCTTTTTCGGCTCCCTCCCCTGTCTTGGCGTTGGGGACCCAGAGCCCCGAGTCGATGCATCGCTGCATGTGATATTTGGCCTCCTGGATGGGAGAGAGGGGGGGGAAATAAATGCTCAGGGCGGGGGTCCGCTGCCTGTTCTGCCTGCTCTGCCAGACCGGGGGGGTTCCCCCCCAGGGTGAGCGGGTGTGGGGGGGAAATACTCACGGTGGGATCCATTTTGCTGATCGTGTCCTGCAACATCTGAACGTCTTTTACGTCAAAGCATTTCTGCAGCTCCTGCGGAGAGAAGCGAAAAGAAAACGTGAGCAAACACACACACACACACACACCCCCCAGGCATTAAAACGTGACCAAACTTTGCCATTTTAACCCCAAAAGAAAAAGCGGTGATACTCACAGGCGGGAGGGACTCGTACACCTCCACGGGGTCGAGCCCGCCGGGGCCCAGCCTTTTCTGCCGCTCTTCTTCCTCGTATTCCTTCATCGCCTTCTCGATGCGAACCTTGGCTCGACCTCGCACGCGTTCCCTGAAGGCTTCCAGCTCGTCGTTGAAGCCCTCCATGTACTGCTGGTCAGCCGTCTGCGAGGAAAGGGGGTGAGTGGACCTTCCTGTCCTCCTGCACACCCATTTCCCCCCCTCAAAAATCCATCCCAGGGTCCCACCCGGCTGCCAGTCTTCACCCCAAGCTGCCAAAAGCCACCACGGTGCTGGGGAACCAGAAAACCTTTCCTTTGGGGGAAGGTGGAGGGGATCCAGCCCGGTTTTTACCTTAATTTTGGTGAAAAACTGTCTGAAACAAGCCCTGGGATCGACCTTCAGGCTCTTGGCCAGCTCCAGGATGAACTGCATGACGATGGTCTGGTGGGCTACCTGCTCCATCAGGGCGTGTTTCTGGGGGGAAAGGGGAGGTGAATTCCAAATTCTACACTTGGATCATCGCAATCCCACGCAACGCCCTCAGTTTGGGGTAAAGGAAGGGAATTCTGCCCCTTCCATCATCTCCTGCCCCGGCTCGCAGGGTTCCACAGGGTTTTGGAAGTGGGATGGGGCGGCCGTGGGGCGGTCCGGAGAATGAGAGAAGGGGCTGAGGGAACCGGGGTGGGTTATACGGGAGAAAAGGAATCCGAGGGGAGACCTCGGGGCTGGCTGGGGGGTCCCGGGTTCTTTTCCTGAGCGATGAGACGGGAGGAAACAGCCTCGAGTTGCTCCAGGGGAGGTTTAGGTTGGATATCGGGAACAATTCTGTCACCCAAAGGGTTCTCGAGTGCTGGAACAGGCTGCCCAGGGAAGGGGCTGAGCCACCGTCCCTGGGGGGGGTTAAAAGACGCGTAGAGGTGGCACTCGGGGACGCGGTTTAGCGCTGGAGTTGGCAGGTTTAGGTTAACGACGGGACTCGACGGTCCTAAAGGTCTTTTCCGACCTAAATGACTCTACGATTCCCCGATCCTACAACTCCCCGACGGATTCCCTGACTTCTGGCAGGAAAAACAAATCAACCCACGGCAGAAAGGCCAGCGAGGCGATGACAGCGCAGATCCCGGCACAAAGCTGGCAGGAGGAATGGGTTTCATCCCGGTTTCTCACCTCTTCCACCTCCAGATCGATGCACCAGATGACTAAGTAATTAGCCGTCTCCTCGCAAACGAGGTGAGGGTTATCGGAGAGATATTTCTGGCTGTCGTCCCAGCGCCGCAGCATCCCTTCAAAGCAGGGCAGCCCCAGTTAGCAGAGGAAGGTTTTTCCGCTCGTTAAAAAAAGAACAGCCTCTAAATCTCGTCAGCAAAAAGGGGAGGGAGGAAGGGGGGGAGATGATTCATCCCAAGGTTAAATTAAAAAATCCCCCAAATTGTGATTAATGAAGGCAGCGCACGAAGCTTCGCCTCGGCTGGGCGAGCCAGCACAAAAAAAAAAAAAAAAAAAAAAAAACATTTTTTTGAAAACACCCAAAC